GTGGGAAAGGGGCCAAAAGAAGCTCATAAGCTAGGTTCCGAAATGGTCCCCTACAACTTCCAAACCAAACTCAATGGCCCACTTAATAATGTCAGCTTTTCATTTTTCATTTTTTAAAATTTCTAGCCCCCTTTTTCCCCAACAGAATATCACCGCATGAAGTTGAGGCTGAGGCACAAGAGACGTCAAGATCACAAGTCAATCGCTGTGGGAATCCCAAAATCGAGATCTGAGATTTTTTTTTTTTTTGGGAAGAAGTGTGTTTTGGAATAGTGATTTTTCAAAAAATATGGGGTTAAAAACTAAGAATATTTTTTAAATTTACGTGTAAAATTATTTTATGGGATAATATGAGGTTGAAAATAAATTTTTAAAAAAAAAGATCAAACAAGAGCTAATTTTACCGGTCGAAGATAGTAATGATGGAATGTTCGAATCAGAATAAGGCAATATTTTAGAAGTCTCTACGATGATAAGAGAGAGATCCAAAATTGATTTATTTCAAGATGACGATAAAGTAATAATTAAATAATACAATTAACACGATTTCCAAATTATTAGTTTTTAGTAGTACCTTATCAATTACATATCGATATATTCTATGCATATATTATATAATTAAATCAAAATGTCATTATTTCATTTTTTGTTGCCTAGTGGAGCATTCTTAAATTACCAATTAATTCTATATATGGTTAGTAACATATTTAGTGCATGTCTGGGAAAGATTGCGGCAAAATTTTAGTTGAAACAATGACCGTAAAGGCAGCCGGCGGGACCCGCTTGTGAGGGGAGTTGTCAAAATGTTCGGCTGACTTGGGGTGCTAACGGTGCAAAAATCAATTTTTTTTGGTTGAAACTGTGCGCCCAGGCAGGGCCTTAAAGTTTTAACGGAGAATTGTGTCATTAGACCTCAATGCGTAGTTGCTGTGGCATTTCGTCTCCATTGTATTTTTCCAACGGTATTAGTCATTTAAGCTGGATTCCGTCCATTTTCTCCTTCCAAGTATGCTTGTGATCAGTACATGTAATAGATAGGCACCAAATAAGCAAAACTGACGGAATCCAAGTAACAAAGATTACTTCCGTATGTATCCAAAGCCGTAGGTTGAGACAATGTTGTAAGAAAAAAAATAGAATTAAGATGAAAATGTCACAACCGCTATAAATTAAAAACCAATAGTACCCAAGCGAATCGTGCTCGACTCACTATATGCCTCTAACTGGGTGCATTCAGCAAAACTAGATGTGCCCGAAGTTTCGTGAGATATGTTGAAAGTCTAGGGTAGTTGGTCCTAGACTCCTAACACCCATCCACCACCCCCTCTATTTATTATTTTGTACTGCCCACCAAAAAAAAATTTATACGCAATTTTGCTACACTTACACCACGCTTGACAACTCTGTTTACACTTTTTAACACGACACACAATTTCATCATTAATTTTAAAAATACTTATTAAAATCAATGACCTAGATTTTGACACTTCAAAGAGCGTCAAACTAACTGTACACCACGAGTGTACAATCAGCTTAATTCTATTCTGTGGTGAACAATTATGCATATGTACATGTAGAGTATCACAAGTCAATCCTTGTTTTCTCCGATAAGGAATTATACTTGTCTAAAACACTTGTGAATGTTTAATTTAAGACAACAAATTAATTCTGGGTATTTGGATAGTAATAATTCACGAGAGTGAAAGTGTCCTAATCTTGTTAACGTATAATTTAATCCCGTTACTTAAGCCTGTTTGACACAGCTTTTAAAAAATTTAAAGCTATTTTCAAGATTAAGTTGTTTGACCCAAGGCTCTTCTACAGAAAGAAAAAGCAGTATAAGCAAAAGCCTGGGAAAATGAGTCCTTCATGAAAGGTCGCCCGACCCTCCAAAATGGTAGGAGAGGCCACACTTCCACTTGCTTCATTTATAAATCTAAACATTTGTTATTTTTCTTACTTAATAGTAGAGTACCATGCAATTCTCACCAACACCTTAAAAAATTAGGCAATACTTAAAAAGATGTTTGCAACCTTGGAACAGTTACAGTTATGTCCGCTGACCAGTTTCCCTGTCATCAGTTACTATCTTTAGTCACCGCTACTCGGACCTTCTGGCACTCGGGCAGCCTCAACTCCCAGCTTAAGTAAATATTGATGCTCACCAAACCCAAAGAAACAAAAGAGGAATGTATAGATCTTAGTCATTGAAAGTAAGCCAAACAATTAATAACTAAAAATTAAGCATCATAAATTGTCTAAAGGTATAATAGAGGGAAGAAGGTAACAGCTATCAATGGTGAAAAACAACAGATTACAGTCTGAATTAAAGATCACGAAAGAAGACATGTTGAGCAAACCCTGAGCCATATTCCTAAGTTTCCTTGGGAGGGGCCTTCTTGGCAGCCTCTGCAGCCGCTTTCTCTGCCTCAATTTCAGCAACAATGGCATCAATTTCAGCTTCTTCAAGCTGGTGCAGTCCATGATCTTTCGTCATTACAGCAACTTCTAGGTTCTTTCCACCACTCTCAACAACCTTCGCGCACAAAATATAGATTAGATGGGGTTGGTTGGATAACATATTCCACCAATAATGAAAAACCGTATTTAAAAACAAATTCAAGATAGGACATCCAATAATTAAAGGTGAGGAGAGGGTGTAAAAAGACAGTCACACCAAGGTTCTGCCCAGTCATCAATCTGTATTGAAGCCAACTACATTTATTAGAACATTCTCCAATAAGAAATTCAAATTTCTGCGCGAGGATATTGAGATTTATCGTTAAAGTTCCATCTGCTAAAAGAGGTAGGTTTCCCAATTCTTTCCAGAAAACAAATAAAGATTAGCACAGGAGAGAACACAAAAATGATATAGAAAAGGGAACTGTTCCAAGAAACTTAGTATTCATACCTAAGATTTTCCACCATCTTCATCTCACGACTCTCAACAACTAATATCAGCAACTAGCATTGCGATAGCTCACCCAGTTTTACCATCTACAGTTAGCTCTAAACATTAAACAATCAAAAAAATCATAATTCCAGCGCCACAACTCCACAGATATTTTCTCTTATATTTAACAGTTAGCTCCATCAATTAGAAAGTGTTGAAGGACTCTTGCACATGCTATGCGGAGTTTATGAGTGTATCTACTTATGTCAACTTCAAAATCTTACTTCAATTGGACCTTAATCCAAAATTTTACCCAAAACTCACAAACCTCTGTGACTGCACACTCTGTCATGGATGTGAGCATTGAGTCCACAACCGGCTGTGATGTGTATATAGTAATTACAACCATAAAATTCCTATACCAATTATTCTACAGGACAGATCATTCACTACAGCAAGAAAATCAATAAATTTACATGAACATGAGGATATCTTCCTACTTTTGTTTGACTGCATAATATAGCCCACCAAGATGCTAAAAGATGAAATATGGATGCGGGAGACAATTAAAAACAGCAATTTCATGATTTAATCCATGTTGTATAGGACTACTACATAATGACCCTAATTTAAGATGCTAGTACAAGTCCACTTCGTGTAAATTTTCTTAGATTAATGTGCAGTTTGTCTAATATAGTCTCACGATGAAGATGCACATGGTAACAAAAGCAGTGTGGCTATCTTGATAACGCACTTCAAGCAATTCTCAACTTCAACACAATATTTTTCAGAAACATAAATGATTGAATAAAGTAACTTATTTTAGAATTTTAACCACTTACAAGGTCATGGTGTACTTGTATCGACCGCATTTTGATAATATTGGGTATTTGGGTTAACATACCAAATCAAATGGTTGAATGATAACCAAAATAAACAGCCAAATTCGTGATATTTAAGCAAGAAGAAAACAAAATTTCAAATGCACAAGTCTAAAGTTAATAAAAATACAATAGACCAAGTAGAAGTTAAAGCAATGAGTTGTGCCCAAATGGATGACTTACTTCAAGTAAAGCCCGCATGGCTAGTTTGACAGTCTCCTGGCCAGATGTTTCTTTGTAATTCTTTTCCAGAAACTCCCGGATCGAGTTTGAGTTTCTTCCAGTTGCATTGGCTTTCCATGCTGAAAAAGTCCCAGAGGGATCTGTCTGGTAAAGAGATGGGACACTTGTGTAGGGGTCAAAACCAATGATCAAGGTTGAAAGACCAAAAGGTCTCACACCACCACTTTGTGTGTACTTCTGCTGAAGTCCAGCAATGTAGCGAGTTATATATTCAACAGTCACAGGATCCTCAACTGTAAGCTTATGACTCTGGCACTCAATACGTGCCCTATTTATTAGAACACGTGCATCTGCTTTCAGTCCAGCACAAGCCAATGCAATGTGATTATCTAAATTGACAATCTTTCTCACCGATCTGAAAGCAAGAACATAAAAGAGACAACAAGCACAGAAACCTTAAATTGGGGGCACAATAAAAGATATCAAGAAGGTAAGAATAACAGACACATTGCATGATTGTTGAAAGCCAAGAAAAATACAGAATAAAGTCCTAACCAACAATTGTAACGTAGAATAAAAGTCAAGTGGGAGTACATATAGACTGAGCTTTATCTACTGAATCCATACATAATATTTGAGGAAATTAACAAATGATTCAAATGCACAACTACATCATAAAATTTATACCCTCACGTGCGAATTAGTTGGCCAGTACTGCACCCAAACCACTCCTATCTCCAATTCTCCTTCACTAGACTCAAGGTTAGTTCCAAGTAACCTACCCTTGTGGTTTTTGAAAACTCACGTAATTTGAATATGTGAAATAATGACTGATTTTAATTTCACAAATAAAAGAACAAAATAGTAGCAATCAACAGGATTATATATAAATATAAACAAAGTAATTTATCACCACACTATAGGAGTAAGTATTCCGTTTGGCCATCTTCCAACCACAAATTAATTAACTCATCTTTTCAAAATCTCTATCTAAATCTATTAGCTAAATATCAAATTCAGAGTCGAAAAACACCAAAAGCACCCCTATATTAAAATAATCCAATTACGAAATGAAAACCCAAAGCCCTAGATAATTTCATTTACCACGAACCCGAATAAATCACAGACTACCCAAAATCAGTAATGACTTGTAATCCAACGATCTACAAAAATACACGCGCATTTCAAAGTATAAATAACTTCAGATGCAGATTTTGACCTGGAGTCTTGGAGCTTAGGGGTAGACTTCTTCTCGACGGCAAGGACGATAGTATCGGTTCCGCGAACACCGACGGCGGCGTTTCCCTTTCGGACGGCCTCCAGGGCGTACTCCACCTGAAACAGATGGCCATCCGGCGAGAACACTGTAATTGCTCTGTCATATCGCGCCATCTACAACCTTTTTGTATGTATCTAAAGAATCGAAATGGATTGTTGGATATATGTGTAAATATTGTTCTGATCTATCACCCTCTTGCCTCTTCTCTCGGAAGAGTTTGATCGATTTATGCGAGTGCGAGGGTCGAGTGAGGAATAAAAGACGGGAAGAAAAAGAGAACTTGGGCGACAAGACAAGGAGCATGTTTGGCTACACAAATAATTTTTAATTACGAGGAATACAATTAGGTTCTATAACTAAAAATTATGAGCTTTTGCCCCCCGTTTGAATCCCCGTTAAATTATAATTTATTTTTTCTCCCTTTCTTTATCAATCACATATTTTTTAATAAATAATATGATCACCTTAATTTTTTTTTCTTTTTAAATCATACATTCTCTAAAAAATTATTATTCTACTCAGTATAACGTGGAATAATGAGGCCAAAGGGACGTTGTCTGCTTTGGAATTTTTATTTCACTGATTTTTGATCGATTTGGGTGACCCCATTTATGAGGGGTGGAAAAAATCGGTGTTTATTAGTTTTTATGGGTACCAATTTTGGATGATTTAAAAATCACCAAAAATCGATGTAACTTAATTTTGACCATTTTTCTCAACCAACCAAACCGACGAATTTTGATCGTTTTCTCATTATCTTCTAATTTTACTATCTATAAAATAATTTTTTTCAACCAACATATTTTTTTCAAAATTAACTTGTAAATAAAAATATATTAACTAAAAATATTTATAAGCAAAAAAATTACATTAAAATTTAACTTATAAATAAAAATATATTAACTAAAAATAATAAAAAGCAAAAAAATTACATTAAAATTAAAAATTACTTATAAGTACAAAATCACTTATATGTAAAAAAAAATTGTTTACAAATAAAAATACTACTAATAAATAATTTTACTGCAAATATAGTCCAGAACGAGTGTGTTAACTAACGGAATATTAAAATTAAGAATTTGACGAAAGAGTTAAGGACAAAATTGTTAGAACGAACAAAGTTTGATAACCTCAAATACAATTGAAATGTGTGTAATAAATAAAAAATTGTAATGTCAATAAGTCAATATATAACTATCATAGATATCCCCCATTTTTAAAAATTATACTAATCTCCTCTATAAAATATAATTATTAACCAAATGCTATTGTGAATGGGTATTGCTATTTTACCTTTTAACCTAAATTATGTAGGGGCAATTTCAAAGATGACCTTTCTCACACGGGTCTTTTTAAATATGGTCACTTTTTTAAAAAAAAATTGCACAAATGGCTAAATTTGGATGAAAAATGTCCATTGTACCATTTTCTTAAAATGATAGAAATCTTCGTATGGTTCAAATTACACATGACCGAAAAGTTGGTGCACTAATCTCAGTACCCTCGCTAATACACATCAAATACAATGAAATCTAATATCCAAAAGGTAAGAACACCAAAATAATCATCTTCTCTCAACAAAAGTGATCAAAAACTTTGAATGAGTGTTCATTTTGGTCAAGTTATAACGTTTAACAGGAAACGATATTATTTAAGAACGAGAGAGAAGAATGCACTAGTATTTTTATATTGTTGAAGATTTTTGTTCAGTTAAATGTAATGGCTAATACTCTTCCTAATTTTTAAGGATGTTTTGGAACAAAATACATTTATTGTTATGACAGTATCATTTTATATGTTGTTCATGTTAATTATTGTTGATAAAAGGAGTAAAAATCGTGTGACACCCCAAATTCTTGAAACTTGAAGCGTTAAAAAAAAAAAAAANGTTAAAAAAAAAAAAAAAACTTAGTTTGAGCTCTTTAATGAAAATTCAGCAAATATTGGTTGCGCGGTAGCGGAAAAAATAAATATGTTTGGTCTAACAAACATCAACTAAAATTTATGAAATTTTAACAGAGACTATAACATTCATATACGTACAATATATAAAAATTTGGGATCTCAACGATAATGCTTGAAACACGAAAATATTTTTCAACTATACTGGACAGTATTTTCGAAACTGACCCGACGTAGTCTACTAAAACGGACATAATTTTTTTTCTAAGTGATATTTTAAGGTAATTCTAAATACCACTATTAGAAGATATGGCCAGGGCCTCGGAACCCACAACTGAAGCTAGAGAATTACGACCTGATCGAATTAAGCTGGTCCCACCGTCGTGGTATGACGCCACGTGTCCGTTCTGTTCTTTAACCCGTAACAGAATGAGTGTTCATTTTGGTCAAGTTATAACGTTTAACAGGAAACGATATTATTTAAGAACGAGATTCGTGAGTATTTGAGAGAAGAATGTACTAGTATTTTTATATTGTTGAAGATTTTTGTTCAGTTAAATGTAATGACTAATACTCTTCCAAAATTTTAAGGATGTTTTGGAACAAAATACATTTATTGTTCAATTAAAATGCTAAATTATGACAGTATCATTTTAAATGTTGTTCATGTTAATTATTGTTGATAACATGAGTAAATACCGTGTAACGCCCCAAATTCTTGAAATTTGGAGTCTTAAAAAAAAAAAAAAAGGTTAGTTTGAGCTCTTTAATGGAAATTCAGCAAATATCGATTGTGCAGTAGCGGAAAAATAAATATGTTTGGCCTACCAAACATCAACTAAAATTTATGAAATTTTAACAGAGACTATAACATTTATATACTTGCAATATATAAAAAATGAGGTCTCGACGATAATGTTTGTAGCATGAATATATTTTTCAACTATACTGGACAGTATTTTCGAAACTGACCCGACGTAGTCTACTAAAACGGACATAATTTTTTTTCTAAGTGATATTTTAAGGAAATTCTAAATACCACTATTAGAAGACTAGTAAACATTTCAAACCCTGCTGATTTCACTCTAAAACATGTACCATAGCCCAAGTTATACCCTTTTTAAGTACGAGGACAAAATCTAAAAATTCAATTAAGCAATAATTTTACTTCATGCATAGTCAATCCAACATTTCTAAATTATAGTTGACATGCAATGTATATAAAAACTGCACTAAAAGACATTTAAACATTTTTATAAGTGTTATCTAAGTGTTCATAAATGATTTACACAACTGGAATTTTATTAAAAAGTTAAAGAGCATTTCAAAACGTCGAGCACTTGCCACTATGCCAACTACTGCCATTCCTCAAATTCACCTGTAAAATTTTATATAAATGATGAAAAAAAAATATTTTGTAAAAATGCAAATTTTGGTTATTTGTGACATCGTCAATTTTGCAAAACGAACTAGTAATCAGGCAATCCGTTTACTCTCAGGTTTTGATAACCATTTCAAGTACCAAAAATCATCTCTTCATATCTTATTTGAACCATCAAATGGTACTTCCATCTTTTCATGAGTAACACAATAACACGTTTAATGCAAACCGAAAATAAATAAATTTTACTTCACTTACAAAAGTGATGAAAACTCCCTATCTTAAATGCTTGGAGTTTGAATACCCTTTTGTGTCCAATTTGTAAAAAAATTGCAGCATGCTCCTAGCCTATCCTTCAGATAATTTCTAGATTCAAAGGTGTCTTTAGTCTATGGAAAAAGGGTAAGTTGAATTTATGTGTTTATAATTGAGTTTTGTGAGACAAAGATGGCTAAAGGAGTTGAGATTTGATTTTCAAATGGTGGATACAATTAGAATCTACATTTGAATAATAACACGTATTTGAAATAAAATTGTGACTTCTAAAATAAAAATCGACGATTTTAGGTAGTTGGCAAAAATGGAAGTTAAAATGGTAAGTTAATTGGTATGATCATGGCACAAGTTAGTGGGTGGTAAAATTAAACGGAGTGCCTTTGGTGGAGAAACAAATTAGACTGAGGGGTGAGAAAAAAAGAAATCAAAATACATGACCTTAAAACGAAGTCTTTTGAAGGATGAGACTATTTAATACACACAATAAAGTGATCAAATTTTAAATTTTTAACGACTTAACATAGGTAGCAATTAATATAAAATATGTTGTCACAAATAACGTAACCAAATCAAAATAAAAATTTATCGTTTAAAAGAGATTTCGACACCTTACGAAATGTTAAGACACGTGCAACTTTACTATCGTGACAAAAAATAATTAATTTGGAGTCTTAGAAAGTATTGTAGAAACGTAGTAGTGTAACCCAAATCATTTTCAAGTTCCACAAGAACATTTCTTTTAAATCGAAACACAAGATTTTTCTCGTTCGCTACATATCTTCTCGTCGCAACAACCGTCTTTTTATTTGATTCTCGAGAGTAACGTCATAGAACAAAAGTAACTATCGAGAAACGACAATCATTTATTGTAATGATCCAGGCCTCGTGCTCAGTCGTTAACTTACATACTGTTAGTTCTGGAAGAGTATGAGCTCATCTTACTCCCCACGATAGAAATTCATATGGTAAGATGAGCTCAAACTCTTCCATAGTGGACGGTACGTAAGTTAACCATCTGATACGAGACTTGAGTCATTACAAAAAATGCGCATTTTTTAACGATTCGATCTTTGTGTCTAAACCGTTAACTTACGTATTGTCCGTTTTGGAAAAATCTAAATTCATATTACCCCTCACGGATTTCTATCGCATCCCCATGATTCGAACACATGGCTCCTGATATTAATTGGGAAGTTATCCAATTGGTACCAGAATTCAATTTAAGTTATTCTTAAGGGAAATATCAAGAGTTTGAATTTTGGGGACGCAATAGAAATTCGTCAGGGATAAGATGGGCATATGTCATCCCAAAGTGTACACTACGTAAGCGAATGATTAAACACGAGGCCTATGTCGTTACATTCATGCCATGTGGAAAAAACACTTTTAAATGTATAAATGAAACATGCACGTATGTACATAGAAATGAAATAACATTTGTTGAGTTCAAAACGTAGGTTCAATTTTGAAAAGAGATTTGATCTTTATTAAATGACATGTAACTGCATCAGTGTCGTTTCGATGGAATTACGTCGTTACTCATGTTGTTATGAC